ATAAATTTTAAAAATAAAATATTAAAAATTAATAATTACTTTGATTAATAAATACAAAAATGATTTCAATCAATTTTAAAAATAAAATCAATTAAAATAAAAATAATTTATAATTAAAAAAATAAATCGAAAAATATTTATTGAGTTGATTGGTTAGATCAACTAATTAGATCAATTCAACCGGTTGAATTAAACTCAATGATCAAAACGGTCTATCATTGGTCCGCACGTTAAAACATTGCTTCTAACGCATGCTCCAAATCCACCCAACCCTAGCAGAGCCACCAACCATTATTGTAGCCCCTTTTCCAACTACTCTACCTCCATTACAACCGTCAAAAAGCACGGCAACCACCGAAACCGCATCAATATCAGTTAAATTTTTTTTTTTTAACGTCAAAAGTAATATTTATTATTAAAAAAACATAATACAAGGATACCTCAAACCCATAAACATCTCAACTTGAAAGACATAATATCAGTCAATTGATGCCCATGCACCACAACCAATGCTAAAAAACTCCACAGCCTTGCTAGAAGCCCTATTAGGAGTCCCTCGTGTACGCCATCCTACACAGATTCTCTAATTCAACACTTTATCCCCACCACGTTAGAAACCTTTATCATGTCCTCACTCTCAGCCACCAGTCACCAAAGGAAACATCACACAAAACCCAGCGAGAGATGGAAAGCCCCAAAATTCGCCGACGACAACAATCTTTATGGATTAAAGAAGAAAAAACTCTAGGAATGACGTGCCCAGAATTGAAGTCATTTTTGTCCCTAAATTCTTAATCTATAGAAAAAAAATTTAAAAATAACAATTATTTTAGGGTGAAAGGAGTATTAAGGTAAATAATTTGTTAATTTACTAATTTTTAAGAATTTTTTGCAATTTAAGAAAATAATTTGTAAATTATACAACAATGTGTAAAAAATTTGTGCATATTGTCTTCTAATTTTTTAATTTTCTTATTCATTTTTGAATGCCAATAGCCTTTTTATATCCATGGCAATAATGTTCACAACTACTCTTAACACATTAAAAAAGGACGAGCTGCTTAAAAGAGTGTTAAAACTTGGTTTGACGGTGTTGTACTACGTCATAGCAAGAGGTTTTTTTTTTTTTTTTTTTTTTTTTTTTTTTTTTT